GTTCGTAGTCTGCCGCGGTCATACTCTTTGTGAGTAACAGGAGGCCGAGATATCTAACTGGTAATTGCCCTGTTGCAAAAGGGAACCTTTCTGTAATTTCCTGTTTATTTTGATCTGAAACCCCAGCCAGGAAGAGCGTAGATTTCTCGACACTTATCTTTAACCCGGATAACACAGCAAACTCGTCAAAGATCCTCATAACTCCTTCCACAGAACGTCTCGATCCCTCAACAAACACCATTAGATCGTCAGCAAAACAGAGATGTGTAAGCTGTATGTTCTTACACTTAGGATGATACCCGATCCTGCCATTAGCTGCTTCTATATCGATCAATTGAGATAGAACATTCATGCAAGTAACAAAGAGATAAGGGAATAAAGCACAGCCCTGTCTTATGCCTCTCTTACTTCGAAAAACCCCTGCAAGTTCCACGTTAACCTGTACTGAAAAAGATGTTGTGCATACACACAATCTGATCCAGTGAATAAATCTCTCCGGAAAGTGAAGCGCCTCAAGAGTATTCAGTAGAAAACCCCATTGCACAGAATCAAACGCCTTAGAAATATCAATCTTCATTGAACACCGGGGCGATATAGAGTCTTTGTGGTAATCCTTGACTAGCTCTGTAGCTAGTAGAACATTCTCCATAAGACGCCTCTCTTTAACAAAAGTAGACTGATTCTGACTTATATAACTTGGCAACAACTGCTTTAACCGGTTGGCAATAATTTTTGATATCACCTTATATAAAACATTGCAGCATGAGATAGGTCTGTACAAAGAATTGTTAAGTGCTAAGTGTAGATCTAATTGCAGATGGAAGATTTTATCTTGCTCTTTGATCTCGTCCTTGCTTTATATTGGAGTCCATATTCACTTTGCTGTTTACTCTGGCCTGATTCGCCATGAATAGTTTTAATTCAGAGGTTATGATTGTTACATTGGTTTGAATGAGTCTCTGGTTTGTAATGTATTCTCCTTTGACCGTGAAATTCACCTAGGTAGACTTTTTAGTCAGCCTCGTTACCTGATACTGACTTTATTAGTAAATGGGTCAAAGTTTCTTTTTAATATATTTCTGGAATTAGTTTTCTTTACTGGAAACTTTGAATGTGATTTATTTTGACTTGTAAAGTGACCACAAACTAAAGCATTATAAATATTATTCTCTTAAGTTCATAGTTAAAAATCTAATGTTTTGAATTTATATATTATATCTAGGTTAGAAACATAAAATAGCCATTTTGAAGAGTGATTTTTTTCATAACTTAAATTATAGGAGTCTAAAGATATAAATATAGTTGATATTTTTTAAATGATAAAAATTTAGTTTAGGGAATGGAAGTTGAAAATAGCTTCAAAATTGGAAAACATGAGAGAATATGTTTTTTCCAGCTTGTGTTGTAGTTGTCAGATTATAAGATCACACTTGGTAATAAATCTGAGTATATATTATACTTAAGTTAAAAATCTTGTTTTCTTAGATCAAAAATTTCCAGAAATAAATAAATTAAGTTGATTAATCAAAAGTCAATTATTTTACCAAAAGTTTATATAATTTTGAAAAAAAACTAGTTATACATTTATCAAATTATTGCATAGTTAAATTATTTTTTAATTTATTATTAGTAAAATAGTTTCGAAACAAAATTTTATTATATTTTAATCTTATTAAAAATATTTTTTTAATTTTTAATTTTTTTTAATTTTACAGAAAATAGTAGAAACATATTACTAGATCAATATCGACAACATTTTCTCTTTTAATAATATTGAAAAATTAGTATGAAAAAAATATATTTTGTGAAAGATATACTGACATATCTGAAATTATGAACATTTTATTATTTTAGGTTGATTATTCATTTGGTCAATTCATTGATAGATAGACGTATTTATGTATTGCTCATAGAAATACAATGTAACAAAATCTATTCAAATCTCTTTGTTTTTGAAAAATAGCATTTTGTTTTTACACTCAGTGAAAGATATACTGGCATATCTCTTTAAATAGCAATATATACTGGTATATCTCTTTTTGTAACAATTATATTTGAATAGATTTTGTTACATTGCATTTGTTATTAGCAATACATAAATACATGTATCTATCAATTAATTGACTAAATGAAGAAACTACCTAAAATAATCTAATGTTCATAATTTCAGATATATCAGTATATCTTTCACTGAATATTTTTTTCTTACATGAATATAGATACATGTATTTATGTATTGCTAATAAGAAATACAATGTAACAAAATCTATTCAAATTTTTTTTTTTTGGAAAATATCATTTTAACTTACAATTTAAATTATTTCTTAAATCTTTATATATGCTCATATCGAAATAGGCCTGGTCTTGAAAGTGAAGGGAATAAAATTATTACTTTGACCCTTATACTTTTAAATAACTTTGTGAACCCAATTGTCTAATTAAGTTCTGGTTAAAATGGTGGTATAGTGTGTTAATTTTTGAGTTTGTGTCTGGTTATTTGCTACAAAAATATTCATGTGTTACATGTATCGATAAGAAATGCGTTTGGCTTGGCGCATTCCAAATTAGAATATCTTTATCCTTTTAGGTTTTTCTACACATTCAATATTGAATTATATAAATGTTCCTTTTATAGTGTTCAATAAGAGTATTCAATCCCAAACAAACTACATGTATAACTTTATACACATTAAAATAAGCAAATGATAAGCTATGATTTAGAAGTTTTTGTTTTAAAATTCGATTTATTTCATTCAACGGGTTACTTATCCTATTATATCTTAGATAATATTTAAGGGATTATGATATTACTTTCGTATAGATATGTTTTTAACCCTAAAGATTTATCAAGGTATATGTTGAGATATAAAAAAGGGAAATAAAACAGAAGTTCCTTTATACATCATAGATTTAATTTATTTATCAAGTTTAATTTTTTACTGTTGTTGTAAGATTTTCAAACTAAACGATTAAACTTGAGACTAATTCATTATAATTTTTTAATATCTATAGATAGATATATCACTAACATATTTCATAAGTCACTGTTCTTGTTTAAGTAGCCAATCTAACATATGATAATTATGGATATGCACATATACAAACTGAAGATACTCTCTATATGTGTCAAAAAAACATTATCAATTTTATTGGTGATTATACATGAATATATATATATATATATCTAAAATTCTATATTGGCCATTCTCACATTCTTCATGGTTTTAGTGAGTCAATATAGATCAATGCTTTAATGCAAATCAAACACGATAAGAGTACAGTTCTGATATAGCAGATCTGACTAGTTTAAGTGTTGAATCATTGCAAGAGAACATTATGTAGTTATAATATAGACTCAATAACCACATATTTGATTAATGAGACTTTATTCAGTAACCACATATTTTATGAATAAGACTTTATTTAGGAAAATTTGGGGTTCTTTTAAAGCATAGATAAATTAGCTAGCATGTTTGGTTACAAAAATAAAATAAAAAGCTAGCATGTTATATTTTTTAAAAGTATATCGATCTGTACACTTGTATATATTGATCTATAGAACTGTATATATTCTCCATCCCTCTTCAACATGTTATTTCATTATGAATATGGACTTCTGTAAAAGAAATATAATCAGTTATATAGAGACTATGATACTTCATAATATATGATGTTAAAAGAAACATATGGACACAGTTTGCTAATGTATTTTTATTAATTATTAATAAGCATACCCAACACAAACAGATACATATATTTATCTATAATTTTTACACATTGATATATTTTCATGAAAATTAATTACTTGTTTCTTGCGCAGCTAGAGAGTTGAGAAAGACTATGAATCTTGATTTACCTCATCCATCTAGAGAACAATAATACACATATGAAACAAAAAAATTCATAAAAAATATATATATATTATTTCCTGAACCAGGAGATAAAAAATATCTTCTTATATCCAAAAATACAGATATAAGCAGAGAATAAAATCCATGAACAATGAAACAAAATATCTAAAAAACTTTTATAATTCTCAATTTTTTTACAAGAACATTTTTTCTACGAAAACAATGTTTCAACATATTTTACATAGATTTTTTTCACGTTGGAATATAATTAATCAAAAACCAAAGAACAAAAAATCTCGTAAAACAAAAACAGAGAAAAAAGCAACCATATAAATAAAGCATCAGTCTCCAATGGTTCCAGCATGCTTCCACTTCCGAGTTTCTCAATCTTAAATATCTTGTGGCACATGCTTCTCGATATAATCTCTCATGAAGCCATGCTGGTCCACCTGTAGCCAAATATGATTGGAAACAACCATCCCTTGTAAAGCTTTTTACGATGTCCCAAGGGATCCTATTAGATTTTAGATTTTTCATCATAAGAAGATACAGTTAAACACATAAACTAGGAGCTAAATGTTTGCTGTTAAGGAGCTATTAAAAATAGAATAAACCCTAATCCACATTTCTTATAGATTAAAAAATATATATTTTAAATATACAAAATTTATATATACGATAAATTACATACATTTAAATAGTGATCACCTGCGTTAATGACATTCCAACTATTTTTAGCTAAAATATAAATTAGACATTTGATTAGAAAATTCATTTTGAAATTTTATGTAAAACTTAGTACCAAATTTGGTAATATATTATGTAATCACCATTACCCTAGATTCTAACTCCAATATCTTAGGTAAACTTAAACTAAAAGAAAATAAATGTATTTTGCACTTTAGAATAGTTTTTTATTTTACTTATCAGACTGTGAACATTTATTCTCAAAATGCTAACGAAATCATATATTATTTAAATAAAAATGACACATCACAAATCCATAAAATGAAAAATCATAATCATTCAGATAGTAAAATAAAACCACAACAATATTAAAAACAGCTACAAAAAAAATTAATTGCAAAAGCACTTGAGAATAAGTTTATTTTTTTGCTTATTAAAATGTGAACGTCTATTCTTGAAACCCTAATGGAACCATGTATTATTGGTAGGATTTGGACTGGTAACATGGATGATACTGTTTGAGCTGACTGTGGTCAGAGCAGTAGAGGAATCACTGGGGATTTGCTGTTGTTGCTGGTGCTGGTGTTGGTGGAA